AATGCCTCAGGCATTTTCTTCCAGTCTAACCTTTGGGTGTTGCAAAGCTGTGTGTGGCAGGTGTATATTTGGGACAGGTAAAGATGAGACTAAACTAAGAAATGTTACAAAGGCGGAAAAGAAAAAATCCTACAGATATATAAATACTAGGTATACCTAGTACTTATAAATACTTTTATAATTAATTGTTTTACTACCAGGTAGCTGTCTCTATAAGGAGTAACTTAGGCTATAAAATTTGCCCGGTTCGGGCATCGAACCCACTAAGGCAGCGTTTTACAAATTAGCTAGTTGTTAATATATCTGGAACTTTAAAAGCCTTACTTACCTATGTAATAAACTCTTTTTTATGTAATAAATTTGTGTAGAGAAGCAAATAACTTTAATATTACTTATTCCTTTCCAAGGAGAGGCTTATGTCCAGCAGTGGACGGTTAACAGCTGTTGATGATATTCAAAAATGGGTTTTGATTATAGTCGTAGTGGATTATTAATAAATACAAGAGAGTATATATGTCGTATATTATGTACAAACGGCGAATGAAATACCTGGCCAGTTGTACGAAATACCTATTATTTTAATAACTAAACTAAATAACTATTACTTAGGAAATTGAAACTAATAACCCAGAATGGTTATTTGCAATGTAAACATATAATAATATACTCACCGGAATAACACACATATGTAAACCTGACCAGGCATTACGTATAGGTATTCAAATTGCCGTGTGAAGACAATAATTAGGTGTGTAATACATATAGCTAAACGTACCAACTATTACAATAAGTTGAGTATATATTCTATGGATAGATGGACGGATGATATTAGTGATTATATTTAAGTCAGCTTTTTATAATTTTTTAACCTTCTCTTGAATTACTTAGGGATATTTCACTTCCAGCTGATCCTAGTAAGTTTTAGAACTACAAAGGGACTAACCCAAATGAAACAAACAATATCGTGGATAGATTTGCAAAAAATGCATTTTCGTATAGGTGTTAAGACTTTAATCAATCTTAAACTTGATCAAGGATTCGTCAATCTCCGGCAATCTTACTCACTTAGTGAAATGCAATGAAATATTTATTTTTGTTGCTTGAACAATGTTTTTTTTAAGATAACGCTCGCACTAAGAATATAGCCTGGGTCGCTGGGGAATTTACAAAACATACATGTAAACTACACAAAGAACACCCACAATTAAAACAACAACTTGTGGATCACACAAAGTGTTTTCACATTTGCGGATCGAACTAACACACAGCGCAGTGGGAAGCGTCGCCGCTTAAACCGCTATGCCATCAGTGCAGTTTAACTCTAATAGGTTTTCATCTTTTGAGATCATAGAGACAACTTAATATATACTTATTTCGAGTATTAAATTGCTATAAATAGCCTGTAGTAAGTAATTAATCCTACGGCATTATTCCTAGTATAGCTATAATATTACAAACATTCCGATTCAGTCTATCCTTTACTGGGCAAGTAATAACTAAAGTGTCGAAACAGAGATTAAGTGGAACCAGCCTTAACAAAGAACGGCACAGTTCATAAAAGAAATTAATGTTATATTCAGATAAATAAATGTCTTTACATGATAAATGATATTGTTTGAACACCAATTCGTGCCGCAGTCTTATTGTGGACGTGTCGTTAAAATTGCAGATGTCGAGTTCTATTATTGACGGCGTTGACATTTAAAGTCTAATCATCTTGTAAATGATTTAATATATGTTTTTATCCCATAATGAAATAGATGCCAGTTGAGAATAGCTTTTACTGTGAGTATGAATAAAATTCATTCTTTAGTAGCATCGTGTTCAGTAAGGAAACGCATCGTAGCGAAGCATTCATTCCATTCCAACAACATTTTTAAAACTATTTTTTTTTAATTTTCCGATATTTTATTCTTTGTTCATAAAAAAAAACAGTTGAAATTACATAACTCTATATAGAAGCAATTTGACGGTCGGATGGCGTAATGATTTGTAACGGAATGCTACGCCAAAGGTACCGGGTTCGATCACCGCACACTTGCGCGACCGATACGACCTTCAAACCTTCAAGAAAAGAGGGTACTCCTTTCTAAAAGGCCGGCAACGCGTTTGTGATGAGTGTGAGAGTGAATTGCAGACGATGGTCACTTTCCTCTAACATAAAAAAAATAAAAAAAGTCAATAATTTCTGAGCATGTACATTTAATGCCGAAGCATGGCTACCGTGGGAGAGTACGAGTGGACCTACTTGATCGAGCTGATACCATGGCCCTACATAAAACCAGAATTAAGCCATTTTCAGTCAGTGAGGTTCATCTGAGAACTGTGTACTTTGCCTTAGTCGAATCGAAATTGAGGTACATCATTCTGTTTTGGGGTGGTAGTTATGACTACAACATTCAAAGAGCATTCATTGCTCAAAATAGAGCTGTAAGAACTGTGTTGAGAATAGACAAGCAGAATTCGTGTAAGCACTTTTTAAGGAACATAAAAGCCTTACAGTACCTAGTCTGTATATCATGGTCTTGCTCACTTTTTTGCTAAATATATCCATTTTTATGAAAATTGAGAGGAAAAACTGCTACGGGAAAGCACTAGACCCTTAACATTCTAACAGCTTATATTATAATTCAGTCAGGCTATTCAATAGACTTCTTCGGAACTAGAATGCACAATTTATTCAAAATAATTTGAGTCCAAACTTAAGGCTTTTCTTGTTGAGGAGTGCTTCTATTCGATTGATGATTTTATGAAATGACACTATAAAATAATTTGCATTGACGTTTAAAATAATTTATTTTCCTTAATATTTTTACCTCTTGACATTCACATCATCACATCGACATAGACCTCTCCTTAGAAAGGAGGTTTACACAATTAACCCATAACATAATTAATTTATACTTGTGACAATCTAATAAGTTAATATTTTATAAGTGAATAGTTTTAATCTCATCAATATTCGAATGTTAAGGTTATTTCATGGTCAGCGCGATCCCCTGATCTAAACCGTATAGAAAACGTATGGTGTTAAGGGCTTCCATGCGTCGTCTTCTTAGTTGTATTATAAACAAAGCAGGTCACACCGAGTATTAAAAAAATATGTTATATTTAAATAGAAATACCTTTTTCTTAGGGAAATTTAGGGGATGCGCTGTCTGTAATAGTAATACGAAGAATATATATATAATAGAAGTTCAATACGAAGAAAACGTATAAATAGGTGTCTAGGTATCGAGTGTTGTGCTATCACGCATGTGACCAACCAACATTATACGTCTTTATTTATTTCTTTATTTTTTTTTGTATTATCTGTTATTATATGCGTGTGCAATGAAAAATTACACACATAAAGATAGGAACAGAACCGGGTGTGAATATGAACGTTACGGTGCTACTGCATTTATGACCCTTGACTGTACTTATATTTTTTTTAGCGAAACCTTTAATTTAATTATTTCTTGGTCCCACAAATTCTCCCTATGCTCTTTACCACATTTATTTGCTCTTAGGCAGTGTTTGTACCCACGATTTCTTGACACCTAATTAACAATGAAATACTATTTGCAATCTTCGTCTGTGAATTATAAACGTTTATATGTCAAGTACTGTACTGCAGTTTACAGCATTAGTAAAACCGTCAAAGTGACAGCAATGGGACTAAGCAACTGAAGCGACTGTAATGAACCTTACGGAAGAATTCTTATGTACTTACGTACCATGGGAAAAGATTTAATGAGTTTATGAACCAACATTCAAGTGGTCGGCATCGCAAAATGACTGTTTCGTATTATGCTTATGATTTTTCATTATAAGGAATTGAAGAACAGTTCTTTAAATATTGCAAGATTAGGTTTTCGCAATAACTTTAATAGATAAATATGAAACTGAAACATTGAAGGTTCAGCGGACGGTTGGGTTGAAATATACTACGTGACACGCAACTGAGAGACATCTTCTACATATTTCAACTAATACATTACAATCTGGTCACGCATCGTCGAGGTCTCCCCTATCCTCTCATTGCCCTCGTCGTTTAACCGAGGCTCCACGATCCTATTAATATATTAGCAGACCCAAAATTAAGACTGAACATGGCTTGTGCTCTGGATTCTAGAATACTAAAATATTAAGACGATTATTATCAATACCCACATATATTAAATAAACCCTCAAAGTAAAGACTAATCTTTCATAAAAATATTAGCTTTTAGAGGGAATCAATCCCGCTCTTTCTGATATTGCTTTTTCGCCGAGTTCTTGTTTACATTAAATCTGTTTATAATGTTGTACAACAGTGATTAAAAATAACTAAAAAAAAATACCACGCAAGCATTAATTGCGGCCCTTTTCTAATCTATGTCGTATAAATAACAAAAGACGTAAATAAATTTCAAAACCAGTAAAGGGTAATGACACCAACAGGTCAGTCAAAGATGTCATTTGACTGGCCTGTTGGTCTAGTGGTTAGCGACCCTGACTGCTACTTTAGAGGTCGTGGGTTCGATTCCCACCCAGGACAAATAATTGTGTGATGAGCACGGTCATTTGTTCTGTGTCGGGGTGTAATTTATCTATAATATGTAAGTATTTAGAAATATATAAGTATTTTTATCAGCAGTATGGTTACCGTAGCACAGGCTTTGCCTAGTTTGGGATCAGGCGGCCGCGTGTGAGATGTGTGAAAATATTATAAATATTATATTACTGAATATAATGATTATGGCAGCTTTCGCTTTGATAATTAACTTTTCAAAAGGTATTACCGACTTCTGTTCGTCTACATCATGATGATTTGTTAAATAACGTCTAAGAATATAATAAAAAAAAGAATATCTTAATTTTTACCCTTAGGGTTTAAGATCATGTCAGTGGTGTACTAGGTAGGGTTTGAACTTGTTACATTTTCAGCGATCAGAAGCTGTAAATCATTACACTGTCAAAATTGATACATATAACTTGCAACTAATATTTGACACCGTTGTTCACAGGATCTCGCGATGTCTAGCGGCAGCTGTTCGGGGCCGGGTGTCTGTGGAGGGGCCCGTCGGCGGCCTCCCCCACCACCCGAGCCGGCGCTGTCCCTGGCCGCAGACCTCAGCGAGCTGAGCCTAGACCAGGGCTACCATACCCTGGCTGATTGCGGTCCCCCTAGAAGAAGAAGGGATAATAACCTCAATGATGCGTTGTGGTTGAAGATTTTGTCTTATCTAGAGGTTAGTATCTAATATTCTAATTTAAGTATTCTTAATAAAACATAAAAAACGCAGTTTCCTTGACATTCATGTTCTAGGTTTCAGACCTATGCCGAATGTCCCGCGTGTGTCGACGTTGGGCAAGACTCACTACGCGGCTAATAACCAGGCCCGAAGCATGGAAAAGGGTCAGAGCGGCAGGCCCTTTGGAAATAGCTGCTAGATGTGCAGGAGCCAGGGCGGGCCCTTGTGTGAGTTCAGTCCGAGAGTGGCGGTCGAAGAACAGTGTGGTAAGTCGTGTCGCCTTAATAAATATAAAATAATATAACGTAAACGTGTGGTATTATTTTACACATGCACTATTTATTAGGATACTTAGCATGGTTATAAATTTGAAGAAGCCCAAAATCGATCTAATGAAGTTATGATGTGACCGAAATCCAGATGGTTTCAGAATCAGACATACATTAAATCATTTTTAGTTCTATAAAGACAGTGACGCACTATTTCCTCTTAAAACTTTTTGGAACCATTCTAATTATAATCTACTACACTTTCTGACTAACTCACAACAAAGCGAATTTATAATTCCATTTGGGTAATGTACCAGTCTTGTCTGTCAGTCTTGATTATCGGTCGCTTAAAGGTGTCATTTATAGATTGTCAACCATACGTTAAGCAAGCTTTCACAGAAATTTCATAGGCTGTTAATACCGGCTAGGACTAGGACTTTATCTCTTTTTGTATCAATGCTCTTGTATAAAAAGATGGACATACATTGGGTTATTCTATAACTTTGTACCTATATTTGAAAATTGGTTCACAGGTGACGGTTGCGAGTGCCCAGTTACTGGTCGCCACATTTAGGAATCTAACGCATTTAGCTGTGACCAGTTCTAGCAGTATGGATGCGAGATCATTAGCACCTCTTGTCACGGATTTAACGGACTTGAGACACATAGATCTTACAGGTAAGTTTCCTTTTTTATTTATTCCTCCTTTATTCCTCGCATTTATTAAAAGGACACGGGGAGGGTAAATCGAGCGTTTAGTTCAATAAGAGGCGTTAATGAAAATCGTGACTGACGGGATAATGAGTGTCTTTCAAGAAATTTATTAGTTCCTGAATATTGGCTAATAGTAATAGCTATTATAAAGATCGATAGGTAGTGAATCTAAGTTCATTTTAATCGTTTGGGTTTATTTTTTGGATTTTAACTGCTGAAGAATCATGCTTCGGAATAGAGTATGGGCGTCTCCACCAGAGTGAGATCATAGTCTCACAGAAAACTGGTGTTCTGCAATTCTGCCGTGAAAACTCAAAAAATCGTGAGGGAAGGGTTTGTGGATGGGAGTGGGCGGGGGTAATTTAAGGCCTGTGCTTGTGCCTGTTGAAGGCATCCATAGGGGGCGGTAGGCTCTTGCCATCAGGCAACCCGTCTACCCTCTATACCTTGAGAAAAATATACCACCCCACTCACACACACTCGACGTTCGAATTTTGTTTGTCTATTACTATGAATTTACCACTGCTTGACCTAGGCCTCTCCTTAAAATGAAGTTTTTGGCCTACTATACCATGCTGGCTAGACGGGTTTCAAGTTTTCTCTCTAAGTCGACTCTTACGACACCCCTGGGATCAATAGGGGTGGTGCGACTTAGTATTCTTAATCCCTCACGACACGGACACTATAGAAAGTAACTTTCTTAATAACGTTTCATATCATGTTTTCATCGTGTACAAATAGCATTATCAATAATTATAAGAGATATTCGATGTCAGGCCCGGTATAAATTAACATTATTGTATAAATTGGCCATTAATGTACCCATTGGTACATCTAAAGCAGCAATAAGGTCATTAAAATGCAGAAGACCGTATCAAGTTGTACAGGAAATGTGTACCGATTTACTCAAGAAAGTCTGCAAGGACCAATTAATTTATTTATTTATGCGCTTTCAGAATATATAAGAAGCATCGTCTGCTTTAGAATGTGAATTTATTTAAGTTTTTTTCTTTTTATATAGTATTTTTATACAGTTATATATCAAATTTACATTATTACGGTCACGGTAAACTTGCTCCGTTGTTCTATATTGTTAAAAATTTGATTAAACACGCTTATACTCTCCTCTGTCCTAATCCAGGTAACAAACTGAATACCATACATCTGAGATACTCTTTACCTAAGGCTCCGGTCTATGTTGCAGAACATTTATCCAATACCAACAAGGCACTTCATGTTGCCGCTAGAATCAAAGCAAAGGAAATAGGTTATCAGTTTGTCTGGTCGGATATTCATGCGGAGGAAACCGTAATCGGACATGTTCTGATTAGAGATAAAGCCATTCTAAATAAATTAGTAAAATTTTGTCTTTTCTCTAATTGCTTATTTTTTAGTGTTATGTCAATGTAACACTAAATAATAATTATAATCATGTTCAGATTTAAGGATATATCATCAAAACATTAGATGCTTACAAACCAAATGTCATGATTTTGCCTTCAAGTAGCGTGCGAAACCTACGATGTAATAATATTAACTGAGACATGGCTAAACGATTCTGTAATGTATTCAGAGCTATTTGATAACAGGTATACAGTTTATGGACGAGACAGGAATAACGGGAATAGTCGTTCGTGACGTTTCGGTTTTGAATCCGATGCTGTACACAATTTACTTATGTGTTAATTTCTTGAATTTTCTGTAAACAAGAATTCCGTTACTGTTTTATTTATCTTAAAACGCATCTCTTTCACTAGGTTGTCCAAATGTAGACTGGCCGGAATGGGCGTGGTTAGAAACCCGACTGTCAACGAGAAGACCTCCCGTGGAATATATAGACCTGACGGACTGCGGGTCTGTTACGGATGCTGGTCTTTGTGCCTTACTTCACACCTGCCCTTCACTCCAGTATTTATACCTAAGGCGATGTACTCTAGTCACAGGTAAGTCAATTCGTGTTAGAAGAACAACAATAAAATATTTTGATATAAACTAAAAAAAATTGATGTCTTAAAATAAAGCTGTCGATTTGTGGGATGTGGATTCGAGAATTGTATTGCCTATAGTTGTCAGCCTATTTTCTTAGTTTTGATTGTTTTTCCATAGCATTTTTTAAATATTTACTTTACTTAATAGATTGTGAAGAAAAATATAATAGAATTTACTTCTCTTTCTTTTAAAAACATAACATTAACATTTAGTCACACATTAGCGCACCACTCTACAGTAGTCTGGAAGAAAATACCTGTGGCATTAAGTCCGCCATTGTATAATTCTCATTTGTGCATAAAATATAAAAATAAAATAAAAAACATTAATTAAAATTTGGTCACTATTTAAAGTCTTCAGGTGACACAGCATCACACAAGTGTATGAATGCAAGTCACATCTTTTGGTGCCAAAGTTAAAAATGAATATACAAAATTTGTTTCTGAAATAATATACATGATTTTAAAGACTGCAAATACATAAATACGTTATGTACTTTCTTTTTCTTTTTTTTTAAAAGACAACGCCCGCATTAGGAATAAATCCTGTGTCGCGGGGGACTTTACAAACATACATGAAACGGACACAAAGAACACCCAGACTCAGAACAACAATTTGTGGATCACGCAAAGTGTCGTCCCATGTGGGGTTTGAACCCACAACACTCGGCGTAGTAGGAAGCGGCGTGGCGACCGCTTAAACCACTACGCCATCCGTGCAGTCAAGATACTATTCTCTGAATGTTGTTAATTTAATCGTTCCTTTTATTATGCACAAACATTAATTGACATAAAGACTCTCATAAATACAAGCTTCTAAGTCGTTATTGCAAAACCTTCGATAAATCATATTTTTGTTCTTTACTTCATAAATCATACTCACAAAAGACTACACTCTCTTAATACCATTAAGTTTGCTTGTACTGCACTAGTGACTTTAATGAACATTAGTCTTGACGCACACTAGGCAACTAGGTGCGGCCACACCAGGCCAGACCTTGCGATTTAATCATTATTGTACGATTCAACGACTTTTAATTTCACTGTAACCAGTAAGTTGGTCTAATGGTTAGTCCTGACTGCTAAGCCAGAGTGGGTTCGATTCCTACTCAGGACAAATAATTGTGTGATAATCCCGATCATTTGTTCTGTATTTAGGTGTAATTTACCTATAACCTGTATGGCTGCTGCTGAGACTGCTGATAAACATACTTATGTATGTTTATCAGCAGTCTAGATACCATAGTACAGGTTCTGCTTTGTGATCAGATGGTCGTGTGTGAGATGCGTGAGATTATTATTATAACCTGATTGAAGACATCTCAGCATTTAAATCATTGATACTATCACATGCTCTGATCGTATTATAAAACTCTTAACAACTAAACTAGAACCAACTCGTACTAAGGTTAAAAAAGAGTACGGTTTTTGAGTAGTAGAAAATTGATAGAGAGTAAAGAAATAAGAGTTTTAGCTATTCCATGGACTACCATGGAATAGCTAAAACTCATCTTCTTATATAGGCTTTATACTAATAAAGCCTATATAAGAAGATGACAGCTATGTTTTTCGAGTTTACACTTAGGGAGTATTTTAAAATGTTTTAGAAGGACAATCATCTATCTCTAATAATATTAGTGAGCTAGGTTTAAAGCCTGATGGATATCATTCCGTAAGTAAACGATCTTTAGTATTAGGATAGTGGGTTTAATAAATCTTTAATAAATACTGAGCATAGAATTTGCATGTTGTCGTAAGTATTTATCGTTCAGAAGTGGGTAGATGTGTAGGCTGACTTCGATGTTCCGTTTATGTCCATTAAGTACATTAGGTTTTACATGCATACGATTCAAATTCATTTTAAACCTTGTTATATTCCTTTTCTCCATGTGAATAATAAAAAAAAAAATTTTTTTTTGAATTATTTTATCTTAAAAGTTATAGATCTTATATCTTATTGTAATTAAGTAGCGTAAGGCAATACTGTGGCAAGCAACTTTGATGAGATTGTCTTCTAGTACGTAGCCAAGTGTGCGACAATTCTTATACCGTACCCGTAATTACTAAAGTACTAAATTATATTTTGTATATTTAATAAGCGCATTGTGTTAAAACACGTTGCTTATAAAGCTTTATAAGCCATGGCTTTTTTTTATAAAGGTATTTTTGCCAAGTTTTGCCCGAAATTCAGTTTAAAAAACGGGCGGACGGAAGGTTGGACAGACAGACGGACAACAAAGTGATCCTATAAGGGTTTAGTTTTTTTCTTTTGAGGTACGAAACCCTAATAATATATAATCTAAACGGCTACATAAACCATAAGCCAAATACACGGTGTAAGGGAGGTCTTAACGAATACTGAAATAGTGTATTCAAACCATCATTCTGATTCGAAAATCATTGAAATTTTCTGCCGGAAAATTCAAATTTTTATGCAATCAGCTGTCAAAGGTTAAGGTCATTCCCCGTAGGTATCGCACTAAAGTATTAACTACATGTGTATGCCGTGCAAACCGTCTACGCACACTAACACAAAATGGCAGCCTGAGTGGAGGCCCCGCGCGCTTCGGCTGTTTGACATTGCAGTTTTTCGGTTTTTATTAAATTGTTTTCCTTAAACTGTTCTGTTTACTCATTGTGATATAATTTTTTATCATTTTTAACCAGAAAAATTAAAAATTAAAAAAAAATATGATGAATTTTCCGGCAGAAAATTCTAATGAATTTCGACTCAGAATCATGAACATGAACCTTACACCTTGTATAATAAAGTTATATAAAGCCAGTATATATTTTGATTGATTGTCATGGCATAAAAGTTGACCAGTTGATGGTTCGGCACATTTATGTAAGCGATGTAAATAAAATAATACAAAAAACAGTATGCAACAGTTCAACGCTAGATTACCGAATTAGTAGTCCTTAGTAAAGTAGATTATAAAAGTATTGCCAGCCTTGTCGAAAGCTAAAAATAGTAGTTAATTAAACAAAAAATAGATCTTTAATAAAGTGGGACAGTTATTTCTATTACAAGATCTTCATAACCCCATCTGATTAAGTACGGAATAAAGATTATGTATTCAACAAAACTTTAAGCCAGAAGAGTTCTATCAATAACGTGTTAACAAGTTATGAAGATTTAATGAGTATTTGCGATACTAAGTATGATTAAAATGTTCCTCAACAATCTACGGCTTTATTAGTCAGTTCCAGTCTATCAAGTTTTCTAAAGTATTTATATGTTGGAATTTCATACAAGACTTTCTTCATCGATGCTGCACAATTCAATATGCGAATACTCCACAAGCTACAAACTTGTGGAGTATTCGCATATTGAATTACTATATTATATTATATTGTATTGAGTGACTAATCACGCTGACAAAGTAATAAAATAAAATTTTGAAACAATTTTTTGTAATAATTATGACCGTTATTCCCTGATAGTGTCACGGTAATGACCAAAAATATTGATAGTGATAAATATTTACAGACTAACGGTACAAAAAATAACTTACGCATTATTAACGATAGATCTAATACGACCTACATGTATAACTAGCTCGTACCCGCGACTTCGGTCCCGAGGAATTTGAAAACCGCTGCCTTAGTTGGTTCGATTCTCGGACCGGGCATAATTTTAAAGGGTTTTTCTGTGAAGGAAAACAGCCTAAGTTACTTTTTATATAGACAGCTACCTGGTAGTAAAATTTTATCAAAATTAGTCCAGCCGTTTCGAAGATTACCCGCAACAAACAGACAGACAGACAAAACAAAAAAAAAATGTTTTTAGTCGTAGGTATAGTGCAGATAACCGTGTGAGCATGAAAGAAACCTATTATTTTGACATTACAAACAGACACTTCAATTTTATTTATTTGTAAATATACATATCACTCAAAAATGTTTTGATATTCATTTCTAAAAATTAGTTAATGGTAGAGGTATGAGAGTAAACATTTTTTAAAAATAAACATTGCCGTGAATGGTAATTATATATATATATATAATTATGCCAATTGGCAAGACCGCCACGACGCTTCACTCCCTGAAAAACGGCCCTCGCCATGGCGTGATCACCGCAATATACACACAAACAAAACTCTAAATATAGTTACATTTCTACGACAGTAAATGATGAAATAAATTTTATATACCGAACTAGATGAGCAACTGTGTCCTCGTTACCCAACCCCCCTTTCTCCGTTTTTGTAAAAAAATTATATATGCTCAGCTCATATTAGTGGTAGCTTGATGATATATAGCCTATAGCCCTCCTCGATAAATGGGCTATCCAACATTAAAATAATTTATCATTTCGAACCAGTATGCAGTAGTTCCTGAGAGTAGCGCCTTCAACTAAACAAACTTTTTAGCTTCAAAATATTAGTATTGGTTTTAATTTTTATTAAGAAAGTCAAAGAGACACAGTAAGTCGATGGCAGCATACAAATAGGTAGGTACAATACGACTATGTACAAAATATTAGATTAAGAGTTCACCTCGGTAACTGTAAATAAACGGCTAATACATTAACGCGTTCAGTAACATTTTTTAATCTTGCATTTTCTCCAGCATTAACATGCAAAATAGCATAACAAGATCATTACGTAGCGAAACTTGAACTTTATTGCTAAGTAGCCATAGTCGGTTTTATCTTACTTATTACACTGTAGCCTTTTGTCATTTATATTTAATACACACTTTTTAAGAGGTAGTTTTCCTTTTTCATTCCTTTACTGGCCCTACTTATCTCCAGGCAAACATTGCATAGGACATTTTAAATTTAGGTTTAAAAGCCCTGATAAATTGTTGCAGTGTGGTTGGCATATGACATGTCTTTTATAAATATACCTATACTTTTAGAAATAAATTGTGGTCGGTTATGAAAACAGCTTTGTTTTAATGGTCTGAAGATTTTTTATCTTTCTTTCCTCTTTTTTGTGATGTTAACTGCAGAATTTTTAGATTTAGATTCGATTCCCACCCAGGACGGAAATTATGTGTGATAAGCAAGATCATTTATTCTGTGATTAGTTGTATTTAATTATAATATGTATTTCTTTAGGAATATTTATTTATCAGTAATCTGGTTCCCAAAGTATAGGCTCTGCCTAGTTTGGGACGAGGCCGTCAGAAATGCGCTGTTTCAGGTTATCATTATTAAGAAGTCTGCTAAGCGTCCTAGATATTGTAGATATGTAAGATATGTCATAAATAATTAATTACAGGAGAATATCTTCATAATCACATTTTAGATTATATAAATGAGACTAAAATTATGGTCGCCAAGATGTAGGCGTATAAAAATGCCTGTGTGAGTGTATGTATGTATTTATCATTCTATATCAAACTGGTCAAAATGTTAACTATTAATCACTTTAACTCTCCTTCGGACGACACTTTGTGTGATCCAAAAATTGTTGTTTCGAGTCTGGGTGTTCTTTGTGTCCGTTCTATGTATGTTTGTAAAGTCCTCCGCGACACAGAATATATTTCTAATGCTGGAGTTGTCGTTGAATAAAAAATAAATATCCACCTTAATTTCTTTTAGTCCACGAGTTCATTTTTTATGATTTATGTTTTTGAAGTTTAAGTATGATAACTGTCTGTCTGTCTGTCTATGCAAATACTGTAAATATAAACTTCTTTAATACTTCTAAATGCTCTTAATCACTATAACGTTCATTGATATGTTAAAATGTGGTATCATTTCCACTCCAGTAAGTAGAGCTTGACTACTTTGAGATTAATTTATCTAAGAGGGTATACAGGCTTTCCTTTGGGTCGGCACTACTGCGTAGTTTATATTCGTTTACGTGCTTTATTAATAGTAATAAGCTGAGAATATTCTAAGTGATTTAATATTAACAACAAAGCGACTGATTTATAACTTATTACCAAAATTCGACAAGCTCCATAAAATAAAAGATTTGTAAAAATATGTTACTCATCATAAAAGAATATCGGAAAATGTTTTTAAATGTTTATGTAAATTGACAAAATCGTTCACGGTAATATTTTTATATTGATGTCGTTATATTATGTTAAGCTATAAGACTATTCTTTTCTAAAAAAAACTTGCAAATAACCATTTGCACGATTTTGTTACAAAAGTTGTTATAAAAGAAGCCTCTTGAGAGAACATAAGCATTTTGTTAGTTAATGAAATAAGACATACTAACTTATGACACGTAGAAGGAAGAAGTTCCCCCCGGGGAAGGCCACCATACCATCGTACATGCCAGCAGTGCGAGAAAATATACTTTAAAATTTATACTTATCAAAAGTCAAAGAAAAATAGACACAATATTTTTGTTCATTTTAAAATCAATTTGCAATAACTATAAAATAATATCTTTATGAAAGTCAAGAAATTATAAATTTATCTTTTGTGTCTCGCATCAAATGTTTGCTGGAACAACATGGTTCACTTTGTAATAACTTTTTTTTAAATATTTTACCGTATCGTTACAAATAAAATACTTACAAGTATATGCATATTAAATATTTAACTTACTACTAGGATTTTGCTAAAAGAAAGCTGTTATTTACATAATTATGTAGACTGCTCGACTATCGAATTGAACTTAGCGCGCACAATATATAAATAAACACCAACTTATACCACGGGATAAACATGGCAGTAACTTCTGTACGTACAGCACTGTATTTAGCTTGTTTAAAGCTATTTCTCACATCTCTCATCTCTCATCTCACATCATCTCTCACATTTATCTTTATCAGACCTATTAAAAAATATATATTTGTTTTGCAGATGCGGGCGTACGGTGGATACCATCGTACTGCGCACTGAAGGAGCTTAGCGTGTCCGACTGTACAGGCGTCACGGATTTCGGACTGTATGAGCTGGCGAAGCTAGGCCCAGCACTGCGGTATCTCTCTGTAGCTAAATGTACACAGGTGCGTAAAGATAACATTTATGTTATACTACAGGTCAGCTGCAGAGAGAAGGAAAACTTTACACGAACCCTATACCAACCAGTCTGGCCAGCGTGGTATAGTAGGCCAAAACCTTCTTTCTAAGGAGAGGCCTATGTCCAGCAGTGGACTAGTAAAGGCTGTTGATGATGATGACAGGTCAGCTGGTTATCGGTATTTTTTATGGCGTATGTGGCAAATGTGAAGACTGGTACTTAGGAAACCTCATGTTACGTGACTAGCATCAGTAATAATATTTTCACACGTCTCATACACGGCCGTCTGATCCCAAACTAGGCAGAGCCTGTATTATATATCGGCGGACGACTGAGTTCCGGACGGTTAGCGGCAGTCGGCCTCCGCCCGAAGCAGTACGCGAGGCCGGTTGTCGAGCCACAATTAATCGTTGGTCGTCCCGGCTGGAGGCTCCACGGGCTGGTTTGGCAGCAAGGGAACCTTTACTTCCGATTGAAGCAGGTCCTGGCTGCATCATGAAGTACCTGCACTCGGTCGCTAGAAGGAATTGAGTCCGGCCTGTCACCACTGCCATTGCAATGAGGATTTGGCTCAGCACACGCTGGTAATTTGCCCAGTTTGTGCATCGCGGCGTCGGAAGTCATCTGATATTCTCACTCACTCGGTGAAAAGAAACAAAAGAATAGCTCAACATCAGTTTTATGTGAAGTTGTGGTATAACTTCGGTGGAGCCGGGCCCATAAGTGCCGCAGCATGGCTCTACCACTATGAAGAAAAGAAATGAATTTCTAAAGTAACGCTAACATTCTACTGAAATTAACACAAATTAACGCTTAAATTTTAACTTTCTAGTTACTTATTTGGGCAAAATACTTGTATTTAGGATTTGGCCATTGGTTTTCAAGGACAGACTGCCTACTGACTAATAATAAAGTAGTTTACGAATCCTTAGAATTGGTATTGAGTAAATAAAATAACTGAGTGAAAAATCAATGAAGCTCCAAGTAAACTTTCAAATAATCTTAATATAGCGTCATCTTGCGTCCGTTAGTATTGTTATAAAAGTATTTTAAGTATTCCTAAGAGACTTACTTTTTTACTTTCATGTCTGAAGCGAAGATGGTTAGTCAGCGAGCGTTAGTTGATATTAGCTTTGAGAAGAATATTTAAAAAATGTTTTTTTGATAGTTTTTCTAATATTCATGTATATATTTCTAAGAAAAGTCGCTTTTATTGGTAAATGGAAACGTTAAAAATAGTTCGTTCTTATTTAGGTCTTAGAAACTTTTATATCATAATTATTGATTGGTTTGTTTCATTTTACTGTACCTTAAAAAACAATCTTCTATTGAATTAGAACGAAAGAACGCAATTAGAAAGTCTCGACAGTATTAAAAGTCTATTGTTTTATTAGTTAATTTTGTGCTACTGTTATTATAAATTGATATCCTATACAGCTTCAGATGTCTATAGACAGACGTACTTTTGCTGACATACCATTTAAGTCACCCGAATTTCATTATTCTAATGAAAACCTTTAGAAATGAATGTATATGGTAGTACTCAGGTGTATGTTTGTGGGAAACCAGTCACGTTGATGTCCCAACTACATTCTTCGAAGAAAAGAGATTATTATTTAATTGTTATTTTTATTTTGGTCATCAGGTATCAGATTCCGGTATTCGAACGTTGGCGAGACGGTGTTACAAACTTCGGTATCTTAACGCTCGAGGATGCGGGGCACTAGGAGATGATGGAGTAGAAGCTATCGCTAGAGGATGTTCCAGGCTAAGAGCTTTGGACCTTGGTGCTACGGATGTATCTGAAGCTGGATTACAGGTATATTATGGTTTGGTATATTTGGGTATGCAAAACCAGCCTCTTAGAGTCACTGCGGTCTTGATCATATTTATTCACCTAAGGCTTATGGTATTTTTACCTTAACTCACTCGCCTTATCCGTTTTCGTATCCCTAACTTTTCTAAATTCCTTGGTACCACCCGAAAACTTGAAAACTCCAAAATATCTTACGGGGATTGGGCGTCGTATTGGGTATGGATATGGTATATATTGGGTATCGTAAAATATAGCCAATATATTAGGTAATGCTTTCGTATCGATTATTCCGTTGTCTAGTTTATTGTAATAACTTTTGTCTCTTTCCAGATCCTAGCTCGATGCTGTCCAAACCTCAAAAAGCTGGCACTTAGAGGTTGCGAGCTCGTCGGTGACGATGGCCTGGAAGCCGTGGCGTATTACTGCCGAGGTCTTACCCAGCTTAATATTCAAGATACACCAGTCACGTTACGAGGATACAGAGCCGTCAAGAAATATTGTAAACGATGTGTCATAGAACATACTAATCCCGGATTCTGTTGACAGCATTGTATTAAAAATATTGTACAACATGGAAAATATTTGCAGATGTACTGTAAGTTTTAACCAGTAACTGCTGACGTTCAACTCATTAGGAGTTTAGAAACAAGCTCTACAGAAGAGGAAAGAAGAGAAGAACTTAATACTATTAATATTGCTACGTAATTGCTGTTTTTATTTATGTCTCTCATACACAAAACACACTACTAAGAGATAGTGATTTTTGAACAGTGCAATATCAAAAGATTTTACATCAAGTTACACGTTAAATTCATTTTTTTATATATTTCGTTTCAATTTGATTTCAGAAAACTTGATTGTGTTTTCATTTTAGATTTATATCGAACGACATAAAATGATTTTCAAAGCTTATGAGCAAAGCAATTTCAACGCCAATATCCAAATAGTTTTGTTGCAGAACTTCTATCAATAGCAAATCCATGAAACTTATACTGAATCCTTTATCCTTTTATAAAGGATATTGTCATATTGCTTTAAGTAAATTTAAGACACGTCTTTATGCCTTAGAAATCGTTGATGTAAAACTGTCTACTGCCCATTTCAGAATATGTAATCAATTTAATAACATTTTTGATAAAACACTACAAGTAAGTGCAATTAAAAAAAATGAAAATCTGGGAATAGGCTTTTAAAATTATCGAGTGAGATAACTACTTGACGGAGAAAAAACAAGCAAAATAGTAGTAAGATCAAGCTTCCTCGATGTTAGCCTTTTATTAACAGAAATTTTAATGAAAATACTGTAAACTAAGGTTATTGAAAAGCACTCTCTTCTGGCTATCTATAATAAAGAGTATTGGCAACAATATCAACGTTTAATGGATTTTGTGTAAATAGTTCACATTCTGTATAGCAAACAACCGAGGTTCGACAGTTGTGTACACACAGGCTCTGACACCGGCTAATGTACGTAACCTACGCACCCCAACTATCGCATTAGTAACCAACCAGTACATATGTAGCGTGGGGTGGGTAAGGCGTGAGAGTTACTAATTTTGCCCATAGTATACTTGAAAGTAAATAAAATAAATAAATAAAATAGCTTTATTTATTCCACATAAAATAAATTCTCAAGTCACAACTACCAATTAAAATGAAAAGGATAATTTTAGACACTACAATTTTACCCTGTCTTACATATGGTTGCCAAACGTGGATCTATGATCACAAGGCGAGACATAAAATACTGACCACTCAGAGGGCAATGGAAAGGAGCTGTTTAAATATAAAACTGAGAGATAGAGTAAGAAACACAGAAATTCGGAAGGTTACCAAGATAAAGGATGCTCTACACTGCTCGCAAAGTCTAAAATGGAGGTGGGCCGGTCATGTGGCGAGATATGATGACAGTCGATGGACAATCAACATCACGAAAAGGAACGGACCGTTTGGCGTTAGAAAGAGAGGTCGCCCGTGCGCCAGGTGGCAGGACGAGATTGTGGCCTACGCAGGAAGAGACTGGATGACCACCGCCAAAAACAGAAAAGAGTGGAATTCTTTGGAGGAGGCTTTTACCCTGTCACTTGAAAGTACATCTACAAATATCTTCTTAGATGTTTGACATATACAAACAAAGTCACATGAAAATACTATAGATAAGTGAGCCATGAATATAAATAATGAAGAATGTATTATTTTCCATTAAATTACACGTATAGGAAATACTCGTATATTCATTTGCTGCAGATTCGGTCATAAATCATTGAGATAGGATGACAATGGATCTTTTGTGTTACAAGAGCGATGACAATCAGCGTGAACCAGGGTTTTAGTATATCAGACCGTGTGACTTATGACCGAGCTTGCAGTGGGTAAATAATTTTACTATAATACTGTATACTGACTGATAGCAAAAATACAGAGATGTAATCTAGTTTGAGAAGTAAGTGCGATTTCAATTGTTTGTGCAATGGTATACTTATACCCGTCTGATAAGGATGGATGTAAGATCTGAATCGTTTTTGTTAGTGTGGACAATTTGGACATAAATCAATATTATATTCATCCAAAAAATATATGTGTAACTTATATACTATATGTCCGTGTTGGTTACATATCCATCTTGATATAGAAAATTCTTAAGTATTTGGAAGGATAAAATAACTTTCTAAAAATAATTACGAGCTCCGATCGAGGATGCTTACTTTTAATTGTAAATAGTAATTTAAAAAAACGAATACTAACACAGTGTCATGTATAATAATGGTCTTTATACACAAGCAACCTTCTGGAGTAACTACTGCAGTAGCAAGCAATTGGCTTACTTTTTTTGTAAGGTAATGAACCAAGAAAATACATTGGAAAGTATAAAAGTATTAAAAAAAATTAATCACTTATTATCGTAATTATGATGCTTTAAAAAAAAATAGGAAGTTAAGCACTGCGTTTTGCAAGAAACTTAATTGCTTTATAATGTTAATGGGACATAGAGCTTTATAATAGTTTCTGAAACTATCGGCCAGAATGGTATAACACTAATCAGAGTATTTAGACAATAACTTCGGCTGTAAAACCTTACCAAAAACGCAGGTGCTTGTGTGAGGAGCAGCTAGTAATGTGTAACTTACATCAAACATAACAAATATTAATGGCTAGATATTGCCTGTGTCTTCGCTCCCGTGATAATATCTTATTTCGTGTCTCTAACTTTGCAACCGACGAACTTTCAGACAACTCTTCTCAAATCATTACTATTATACCCGATTAGTAGTGAAATTTTCAGGGATTTCTTTTCTAGGGTACCCGGTGGTTCCCGTGGTTTCCCGGCTACTGGTATAGGAGACCGCGTGCGGTTTTGAATCGATTTGAGATCGACATAAGTACCCCAGCGGTTGAGGGGATTTCCGCACAGAAAAAACCGGTGAAATTTTCAAAAATACTTTCTTAGTTATACTACTACTATTAATACTACATAAAGAGCATCAGCTGCATAAATTTCAAGTTTGGATGGATGAATGGATCAGTCAGTCATAGCATGTAATTTTTATAGATTATACCGATAGAAAAAACTAAGTGAATTTATTTTCTCAGTGTAGTTACGCCATTAGGGGGAATGTTTTAGGGTTCTATTAGTTTCATTGTTTCTATAAAAATATTTTGCAATAAATATTGATAAGACAAAAACGAACAGTATATAAAGTTACTACGTTTTCAACTTTCACGTTGAATGATATTTATACTTTTCTTAATACTGGAATTAACACGACCAGTAGGAGTTACATACCTTGGAATTGTGTGACGTTTCACAGTATAACTGTAGTCACCGGTGAATTGTGAGCACGGTCAGTGCAACCTGGCTTTACTTATTGATCGCGTCAATTCTCGTACTACCAACTATAGTACTCGTATACTAAGTTGTATTATATGATTGTGTATTAAATGTATAGCTTGTGTGTAATGACCTTAAATGTAAATGCTTTAAATATAAATGTAACCGAGTTAAATAAGTTAATGTATTTAGTTTTGAATGTGTATTTATGTACAGGGTACGAAGTAAATACTGATGACGTATGACGTGAAAAGAACTATTTTAAACAATGTACAATATATTTTTAATTGAATGTTATGATGATTGTTTTGTCACAACAAAGTTTTGTTTTATTGTGTGCCGGAATGATAGCATGTTATGTAGATGGATAAAACACTCCTTATTTAAAGTGGTGTTTGTAATATCTATGGAGTAAATATAAAATAAATAATAATAAAGCTTCTTGAATTTCGTTCAGAGTAAGCTTTGTCTAAAGAAAACTGATTTTTCTGATATACTTTTTTTGTTTTAAAATTACACACTGTATGTGTGTATAAAAACGTGTATTTCTGAAGGGGTAGGTCATATTAAACTCTAACTATAACTTTAAAAAATTAAAACAACGAATGTTTTTTTCTAAAAAAATCTAGAAGTTTTAGGTACACACAACCAGATGCTTTCATTATCTGTATGATCACCGAAATACAAAACCCTGAGGAACCTTCATTATAATTATGTTCAAACAAATTTCGAGCAAAAAATGAGGCCGTTTCAAAAAGTTAATATTTATATAGATGTTATTAGTACCGGATCCTTTTTTAGGTTAACTCAGCTGAGTTTAAACAAATGAATAAAACAGAAATCCTCAAATAAACCAGAATCCAGAATATTTTCCCTGGTGTATTTGCATGTTTCCAATTGGTACTGTATACATTTTTAAATCATTTTTTTTGTCATTATTTTGAGATAAAATTCAAATAATTGGACTTAGGCTTTTTTTTATTATCCTTCTTATGATATATTACGTTAGGACTCAGTTTTTGAGTTTGATTTGTCAATTTCAAATTGAACCAACGAACTTTTTGGAAAATTGTTAACGCTTTGTATTTATTTATTTGTAATATGTCATATATTTGTAAATACGTCCGAGTCCTGCCGATGATATTCCTGTTAGTACCGTTTTCAAAATATATTTTTTTATCAAAAATCACTTGTGTGTGTATTACATCAAAAGATTGTTGTGATAAAATTCGTTAATAACTTTAAACTTTAATTTTTAAAATTCCTTTGCAGCACATAATTATGTATAACTCAAAAAAACAGTAATCAAAATCCAATATGATGCGATTATGTTTAATATTTGTGCCATAGCGTTTCGTTTTAAAATTAGACTAACTTTCGACTCAAATGGATTTAAAATAAGGCTGTATTTACACTGCTGATATGAAGTAATAAAATTCTCACTCCTTTATGGTTCAAGTGAAGTGAGATGTGAAACGAACAGGTGTGCAGGTTCTGCTCAAACTTAAAAAAAAACACCACCCAGTGTAAACACCGCCCAATGTTACTATGACTATGTAATTGTAGCAAATATATTTAAAAAATTCTGATACAATAATATAATTTTCAAATTAACAGAATTGCCATTGTTGATTTAGTGTTTATTATTAAATTATATTTTTTTAACAAATTAATTTGTTTTTTTATTACTTACTACTATTATTTCTATCTATAT